AACACAAGAAATATAATAAGTCAAGTGTTTTCAGAGTGTGTGTTTTAGTATGTATCTGCCACGTGTTTGTGTAGGTCACACGCCATTGTTTATAGCGATTCTGGTTTAGACCCGACTCATTTATTGTTTTGGATCCAAAATTCCCTTGTCTTATTGGTTATTCAACTCCTTATTCACCTTGTAATTCATTGAGTTTGGCTATTGGAGTGTCATTGTCGTGTTTGGAACAAGTTGGTAGTCTGTTTTTCAAAAGAAATTATGTCTAGAATTTTGCTTGTTCGCTCGAGCGACATTTCTTGTGCTCGAGCGATCTTTTACAATCTACAAACTACTAAGAGCTTGATATTTACGCTCAAGCGACGCTTCTTGTGCTCGAGCAAACTTTTACAAGTCTGAACTACTGGGAGTGACGCATTGTATGCTCGCGCAACCATTCTTACGCTCGAGCAGTGTCTTCGTTGTGTCTGGTCGCTCGAGTGACTATTCCTATGCACAAGCGATATGCACGTATATCAATTTGAAGGGGGTCACTTTTGAGTCCTTTTCTCATCTCTCTCTCTCTCTCTCTCTCTCTCTCTAAAACCCTCCAAAACCTACATTTACTTACTCTTTCTCTAGAAATCCTCTCTAAAACTCAAAATCCTCTCTAAAACTCAAATACATTTTGATCCGTTGATTTCTACACCATAGTCCCTTTGATAAAAAGGTAGAGCTCACCTATAGTTTCATTTTGATCGGAACAAAGTTCGTTTTTGGTTTCGTCAAGTTTCAACTCTTGTTCTCCTTGGTTCTTATCTTGGAGGCAATGATTTCTTTGACCATTTTTATGATTTTTAATTTAGTTATTTGCTTTTCTAAACAATACAATAATTTGGAAATGTTTGGATAAAACCTAGGGTTTAGTTTTGAAATCAAAAAAGGGTTTTCAAATTGGACTCTTGTATATGATTGTGGCTTTGTAAAAGTGGTTGGGTTGTGATAAATGGTAGATTTTATCCATGGAAATTGATTTTTAAAGGAAAGGGGTTTTTGCCTTAAATTGTGAGAATTTGATTTTTGTAAAGAAGCAATGGTATTGATGTTGGTTTTATAGAATTGGAACAATGATGATGATGGTGGTGGAGTTGAATATGAATTATCACTGCTAATTGGAAAAGTTGGAAAGTATATATGTGTTGAGAATTATTTATCTGTTTAGAGATATCTATCTTGGGCTGTCGGTGGAGGGTAACTGGGATTGTTGTAGAAATTGCATGAGAATTAAGTGAATTGAAACTATTTTTCCATCCATTTGCATTGAGGATTATAACATATTTAACACATTGAAAATGTTGTTGTTTTGAGAAAAATGGGTGAATATCTTGGTGAATCTAGGTAAGAGTGTAGTTATGGTATTATGTTGGCCTGTATGTCCTTGGTGAAAGTCCAGAAACCCGCATGGTAAAATGTCGAGCCTTCTAGTTAATACTGGTAAAAATGACAAATTGGTAGTGCTTGTAGCCTACTTGCAGACACGTCCTAGAGATTCCCAATATTGTATCCATTGTCCTGTTTTCTATTGAAAATGAATGAATTACATGAACTGTGATATAAATCTGGCATAGCATGGTTTGAAAAGAGATATAAAATGTTTTGGCATATGCATTGCATATGCATCCACCTTATAACTTTGTTAAGATTCATACACTATGTTATAGTATCTTTACTAGGTTTTGGCTCACCCTATGTGGAAAACCATTTTCAGGTGTTGATGATATGCCTCCGCCAAGGCAATAACTTGGGAGGACTAGGAGTCAAGAGCTTCTATTTTTGGTTATTGTTGTATATATATTGTACAAGCCTAGGGTTTTAATTGTATTGAGTTTAAACTCACTTTTGTTGTAACTACGAACTGTCTTGGAAAGTTGTAGCCAATAAGGCATTATATATCTATTTAACTTTTATTTCTTATCTTTTGTTTATAACACATGCTATAGATTCAGGGTTAGAGCTTATGAATATATTACTACATGCATTACACTTTTGTAAAGAGATGAAACCTTATTAATGAAAGAACATTATATTCAATCACCTGTTATTAATTAAAATCTGTTGTGGGATTATCTTATTATAATATTTTCGGGGCGTTACATTGTCTGTCTGATCTATTTTATTCGTCTGATCTGCTCCTGGAGCTGTCTGTGAGTAACAATTCTGTAAAGTTATGTTTGACTATAAGTATTTTCTGATTGATATGATATGATCTATTTTTTGAAATGCTATTTTGTGAATCATGAATGAACATCTAATTTTTTGAAATGTATACGTGGTATCCTCAGCATCATGTGAATCTATCATGTGTTATCTGTTACCTAGTACCAGGGTTTCACGTGGGTTCTATTCATGGATTTGATTATGCAAAATCAACTATCTCCTCTGCACGTGGGTTTTAATGACCATCTTATGTGAATATAGGTCTTTATGACCACTTACTCTGCACGTGGTTTTTTATGATTTATCTGATCTGTTAGCTAATGGATGTACCACATATGACTGTTTATAAATTTGAATATGTATAAGAATCTGTTTCTGATTTGAATTCTAATTTCTGAATTTGTCATGGATATCATTCATAAAACCTTTACTCTGTTGTTATTCACTGAGCTCTAGCTCATTATTTATATTATGTATGTAGGTGATCAGGCGCGTGACCAGGCTTGAGACTTCCAGTCTGGGTTCTGTTTGTGTCAGCCAACTAGTGCGCCTTCTGGGGAGGTTCCAAAAGTCTTTTGTGGTCAAGTTTCTGTGGGCAATGTTTGTGACCAAGCTAATAAACAAGTTTTAAGCTTTTATTTCTTTGTTTATTTGAACAAGTCTTTGTGTTATTCTGTAAATAGGGCTAAGTCTCTTTTTGATTATCTGTACATGTGGTGACGCGAGTATGATGTCATATTATATATAAATATATGTTTAAATTTTATGTCCCATATAAGTCTGCACAGTTCTATAGACATTTTATTTTTTATATTTGTTTCCGCTAGCCCCTTATTTTGCTAATCTGTCTCAAAGGCCTTTGGTAATCGTAGGATTACTGGTTGATTAAGATGCTAAACCTATAAGCCCGAGTTTGGTTTGTGACACTCACATAGGCCCCCCAACTGACTGGTTTTCTTAGAAGGAGGTTCCCATAGACGACATCAAATGAAGAAACCAACCCTCCATTAGCATAATATTGTCCGCTTTGGACGTACCCCTCACGGTTTTGTTCTCCCCTTAGAAAAAGGCCTTGTGTTAGTTAGAAGGAGTTAATCAGCTTATAAGATGGAATGTGGTACTCTCACAAAGCGAATGTGGGATGCACCTACAGATGACATTGACGATAGATGATGGTTGTGGTGTTTTAGAATTAGGGTTTAGATGAAAGAAGATAAGCGTATTGTGATATTTTCATTCAAGGACAAAGTTATGATAACAAAAAAATTCATTAAGTGTGTGAACTGAGGGAAACTGGTGTGTAAAAATAGAATTACCCTACATCTTCCAAGTTTTCTGAATGTGAAATTATTGGGTAAATTTCAAATTCACCTCTTGATGTTTTCTTAAAATACGAATTGTGTAACAACCCTGAACTATGATTAGCTACTAATCCACGATTAAGAGTGCCTAATCAGTAATTAAAAAGAAATTCTGAATTAATTGCATGTGTGTTGCATTATTTGTGTTTGTATCTGTCAGTCATAGAAGTATCTGTCTGTAATTCTATTATGTTCTGCGAATTGAAGGCCTTATCGGCATTTGATCACGAAATTGACTTGGGTTGTGTTATTTGGAATTTTTAGAATTTTATGGTAAGTTTAATTGAAATTCAATTCGAAATCAAATAATTATAATAAATTAAGCATAATTGATTAATTTTTAACTCAATTAAGTCTTATTAATCAAGTCTATATAAGGTACAAATGACCTCTAGAATACACTTTACACTCTCATATCATTATTCTTGAAACTACAAATGTGACAGAGAGAGAGAGAGAAACCAAGAGAGAAAGTGAGATCATTAAGAAAATGGAGAATTGCTAGAAATTGTTGAAGAATAGAAAAGAATTTGAAAGATTAGGCTTCAACACTTGGAAATTCAAGGCTTCAAGGTACACTATAACAAAAGACAGATTCGGCGACTAACTTTTTAGTCACTAAAGGTCCAATTTTGGTCACCAAAACCTTTTACCGACTAATATTTTTGGTCGCCGCCTTTGTCGTTGAAAAATAGTCGGTGAAAGTAATTGGCAACTAAAAAAATTTTAGCAGCTAAAAGCATGCAATTGGTGACTAATAATTTAGTCGCCAAAAGTGTTTCAACTAAATTTAACATGACATTTTCAGCGACTAATATTTTTGGTCACCAAAACCTAAACTGTTTATCTACTGAAACTTTAGTCGCCTAAGGTCTAACATTTTCTGTTTGGCTACTAATATTTTAGTCGCCTAAAGCATTTTTCAGCGACTAATATTTTTGTCGCCAAAGCTTAAATTGCTTAGCTACCAACACTTCCGTCGCCTAAGGTCCAATATTTTATGTTTTGGCTACTAATAATTTGGTCGCCAAAAGTGCTTTTCCTTTTTTTTTTCTTTTTTTTTTTTCTTTTTTTTGACTACTAAATTATTAGTCGCCTAAAGTCTTATTTGTTATGGCTACTAAATATTTAGTCACCAAAAGATTTGTTTTCATTTAATTCTTTTTTTTAGCTACTAACTATTTAGTTGGCAAAAATATTGACTTTATTTTTTACTACCAATTTTTTAGTCGTCAAAACATCATTTTATTATTATTATTTTTTTTTTAAATTTGTCCACACCCACAACCTATATATATTCTATGCAACATGTACAATATATACAAACTGGTTTATACATATATTATCACTCATTCAACAATCTACATCTACTTCAGTTCCAACCATCTAAAAATTAATACCTTCAAATGTCAATAATTCCATACAAATCAAATACATTAATTCTAATTTAAAATAATAATTCCATATATAACATAAATGATCATAGGGAAATTTCATCATCTATATACAAAAATATATTTATTACTATGCCAAATAACCATTTGGCATGATACAAAATACCATAGTAATATGTACCATGACAAAAGGTAATCAATAGATCACGACATCAATCATCTGTTCGAAGGCAAAAATATTATGTACCCCGCCAAAAGTATTCTGTACAATTAATACATACTTACACAGAAAGCAGAGGACGACAAAAATGCAGGAGTTTACAAAAGTGTACATTGTCATCCGTCTACAAAAATGGAATATCCACAATTTCATGCTAAAAGCCATCTACAAAAAAAGTTAAAAAAAATTACACCAATTAGTTCCATATATAGCATTTTAGCATAATGTCACACCCTTTGTAACTGTAATAGAACTTTATCCTAACATTTGTAATTTGATATTGGTTTAACAATTTTCTGCCTTATTACTTTTCCTCCAACAAGGCTAGAGTAGCTTCTGTTTTCTTCCATCATCAAAACATCACTTGACGTTCACTGTTTGGTAGGGTTGATAACATTTTAGTCACTGAAATATGTATTTACTTTTTGAGTACGAATTATTGAGTTGCCAAAAAAATGGTCTTATATTTTATCACAAAATTGTAATTTATCCACAACCTATCTATATTCCGTGCTACTTGTAGTATGTATATAAACAAAATAATACATATTTTATCAATCATTCCACAATCCAAATTACTTTCATCCATCCAAAAATGAATAACTGTAAATGTACATATTCCATACAAACCAACTATTGTCCAAATTAAAATTATACTTCCACACAAAACAAAGAAGCATACAAAAATCCAACCATCCATATACAAAAAAATATATTTAGTACCATGTGAAATGTCCATTTGGCGTGGTACAAATTACCATCATAATCTGTACCACGACAAAAGGTGATCTATATGCCACGCCAGTAACTATCAATTGGATTGCAAAAGTTATCTGACAAAAGCTGTTTGTCACATCCGCACGGTGGTTTGGGGGCCAATTCACATTTTCGCCCCCTTAATGCCCTTTTTTCGGTTAAATTTAAAGCATTTTCAACTCTAACTCCCAACCTACATGTGCTAATTACATTCCTTCTGTTGTCACAGGTCCTATTTTTCGTGAGAAAGCTAGTTGTGACATCCGTGCGGTGATTCGAGGGCTGTTTTGCATTTTCGCCCCCTCAACGCCCTTTTTCGGTTAAGTTTAAGGCATTTTCAGCTCTAACTCCCAACCTACATGTGCTAATGACAGTCCGTCTATTGTTAATGGTCCTATTTGTTGTAAGAAAGCTGGTTGTGACATCCGTATGGTGATTCGGGGGCCGATTCGCATTTTTGCCCCCTTTGGGCCAGTTTTTGGTTAAGTTTAAAGCGTTTTCGGCTCTGACTCCCAACGTACATGTGCTAATTACATCTCGTCTGTTGTCACAGGTCCGAATTGCCATGGGGAAGCTGGTTGTGACATCCGTATGGTGGTTCGGGGGCTGTTTTGGATTTTTGCCTCCTTAACGCCTTTTTCAGTTAAGTTAAAGGTGTTTTCGGCTCTAAAGCCTGCACGTGGTAATTGCATTCCGTCTATTATCACAGGTCCTATTTGTCATGGCGAAGTTGGTTGTGATATCTGTACGGTAGTTCGGGGGCTGTTTTGCATTTTCGCCTCATTAATGCCCATTTTCGATTAAGTTAAAGGCATTTTCAGCTCTAACTCCCAACCTACACATGCTAATTACATTCCTTCTGTTGTCACAAGTCCTATTTGTCGTGAGGAAGCTGGTTGTGACATCCCTACGGTGGTTTGGGGGCTATTTTGCATTTTTGCCCCTTTGACACCCTTTTTCAGTTAAGTTTAAAGCGTTTTCAGCTCTAACTCTCAACCTACACGTGCTAATTACATTCCATCTATTGTCACAAGTCTTATTTTTCATGGGAAAGCTAGTTGTGACATCTGTACGGTGGTTCGGGGGCTGTTTTACATTTTCGCCTCCTTAACGCCTTTTTTTAGTTAAGTTAAAGGCGTTTTCGGCTCTAACTCCCAGCTTACACGTGCTAATTACATTCTGTCTATTGTTACAGGTTCTACTTTTCATGGGGAAGCTAGTTCGTATGGTGGTTCGGGGCCTGTTTTGCATTTTCGCCTCTTTAACGCCCTTTTTCGGTTAAGTTAAAGGCATTTTCGGCTCTAACTCCCAACCTAGACGTACTAATTACATTTCCTCTGTTGTCACAGGTCCTATTTGTCATGGGGAAGCTGGTTGTGACATTTGTACAGTGGTGCGGGGGCTGTTTTGCATTTTCGCCTCCTTAATGCCCTTTTTTGGTTAAGTTTAAGACGTTTTCGACTCTAACTCCCAGCCTACGCGTGCTAATTACATTTCGTTTGTTGTCATAGGTCCTATTTGTTATGGGGAAGCTGGTTGTGATATTCGTACGGTGGTTGGGGGCTTTTTTGCATTTTCGCCTCCTTAACACCCTTGTTTGAATAAATTTTAATAAAGAAACTTACATAGGTTTGTCTCTAGGTATCTGATTCCTTTAATTTAACCTAATATCCAAGTACATTACAAAATATTCCAATTTCTTAACAAATTTCTTTTATTTTCTAGAATTGAATGGTGTGCACAATATGCCATAAAGCATTTTATTCATATTTTCTGTATAGTTTTACGATTAACTAGAGTTGGTAAGTATGTTTGTAGGTGAATGTCTAATTACATGCATCATATAGGGCATATGAACACATTTTATTCCTTAACCTGTTTGAATATCCTAGTTTTGGTATAAGGACTTGCATAGCTTAATTATATAGCTTAGCTACACAGTTTTTGGGGCAGGTTCTAGCTGTATGTTGTGGCTGTGTATGTAACTTAGCTACACACTTTTTTTGAGCAGGTTCTAGCTGTGTAATTTAATTTGTCTGGCCAGGTGTTCTTGCTGTTGGTTGGTAGCTGTGTATATAGATTTTGATGGGTTAAGGCCTAGGGCATGTCCCTTGTAATCTTGTAAATTCTTTGTCTTTGATTTATGACTTATTCAACACCCCCCTTCCCCTCAAAAAAAAAAAAAAAAAAAAAGAAAAAGAAAAAAAGAAAAGAGAATTAAATGTATCACACAAAACCATTGTCGAAGAACAACCAGGTAATAAAACATGCAAGATTGATTGATCATATTATTTCCTATGAATAGAACTTCTGAGTCCACAAGCTTCCACATATCAAATTCACTTCATGAGGACAAGTTTAATCTAAATCTGAGTTTATAACATTGAATGTGGGTAACAAATTTCCTTATAAGAGAATACGTACAATAAGGTACTAGATATAGTATTTAAAATTTGTACATTACATATAGAAGGATATGGATACGGTGGAGATAAGGGAAAAAAATTACATTTTTTCTATATTTATATTTGCAATGTAAATGAATATTACATACATAAACAATTAAAAATATTTTTATGTACCATGTATAGCATATCAGCACTAATGTTACATAACAAAGACTAAAAGCATCACTAGAAGTTGTAAAAGGGAAGTGGAAATACCTGTGGAAACTGATAATTTCGAAGCCTTGAAACATCAGCAATCCGCTTTACTGTACAACTCCCCAGGTCAGATGAAAATTCCTACCAAAGGAATGCATTAGAGGATTGCAAGCTCAATCAACCAACAAATATTTTCAGCGTTTCAATGGTCACTTGGTAATTAATAATGTGCCCAGACTTGATCACGGAATACAGTAAGACCTTCTTTAAGACCAAGTTGAAACCAGTCTCGACATGTCACTCTACAAAAAAAAAGTGTCAACCAAAAGAGAAAGATTGGAAGAAAAAAAAGTTATACAAAAGAGTAACAAGATTTTAATAATTGAGATAGAGTAGCAATGTAAGCTAACATGTTACCAGTCCAGTTGTGAAAATACTACAATATACACAAGAAATAAGACCCAAATTAATACAAATTAACCAAGTTTCTTGCTTTTTATGAGATAAATGATACACCTCATGGCCAATAACTCCTAAAATTGCAGCATAATCTACATCTGTCAACAACCTTGGAATTGAATATCTATCAACAACCAAGTCAGATCAATCAAATAAAATGCATGGTAGATAGAAATAAAGAGTCAAAAAAAAATTCATGAAGCATACATTCAAGCTTTTGTTTTCCATGGCTTCCCTGAAACCAATAAATGAGATAATTAGTAATTTAAAAGGGGAAAATCACAAAGCTTATCAAATATTAAGGAAAACGACATACGTGAGAAGCATTGAATATGTTGAGACTTAAATGTTAAAATCTGGAACAGTAACAATATTGAAGAGATCCAGGTCATACTGATAACCAATAGAGAGAAAACGTAACCCATTAAGTAGCAATTAAACTTGAAATTCAGTAACTAATATGATGAACTGACAATGATTGATGACGATGATAGAAGTGACAAAATTCTATTATTTTTTGACAAGTAAACAATGAAAGATTATATGACAAATACACCCTTCAATCCCAGATAGCAAAATTTATATCCAGTCAAAAGTTAGCCAATAGAAAATTAATCCTAAAGAATGGCAATCGAAGAGTTACATTGAGATACATCTCCTAAAGCAGGAAAACATACATCCGTCTCAAGACTATTCTCTGCTTTAACAATAGCAGCACCAACAGTGGCCCCAGAAGGCATACGTGTAGCCTTTTAAGCCCTAACATGAGTTTGTATATTGTCATATGATCCAAACTACTTTTGACTTTCATTTCTAGTAGACATTGAGTTTAGTGAACTGTAATTGGAACCAGTCTGCTGATATGGTAAGGGGGAAGGACCTGAACAAGACATTGACTTTCATTTTTTTAGATATAAAAGTGCCAAAATGAGTAGATTTATAAAGCAACGTCATTAATGTAAGAAGCCATAGGTGCAGAGAATCTGCTTCTTATAGAGGGCAATTAAATATTTAGGACAAAAAAAGGCAAGGTGAAATAATACTTGGAAGAGAATAAAGATATACGTTAACTTTACCAAAAACATTATTAAAATACTGTTGATTTTGAAAATATTACTAGAGTGGTCTTGACCCCAACCTATTTCACAATCTAGACCCATTTCTTCCCAAGTCACACACCTTACAAGAAATAGGCGACAAAGTAGAAAATTCAATTATAAACCTGGACTTGGAATGGAGGCTCCGAAAGCCTCCATTTGAAATAGAGGCTCTATAATAGTAAGTCTCCACTGCAAAAGAAGGTTTTTGCCATTGCAAATTTTATAATAACTACAATACATTAAAAAAATAATTGGCCCTTATATAAAAATCCATTTTGAAAAGTTACTTGATTGATATTCAAAGTTTCTTGAATTGTGATTATCTACAGAATATATACTTGTGTCCTACCTTTTATTATACAGGAATGTTCAAATGAGTTTTCAGAGCTAGTGGTTACATAATTTTTGTATGATGTCATTCACACCTTACAACTAGAAGCTTAACATTTTCCATTTCCTTTCATCTCAAAATTTATTTGTATCACTCTAGAACGACTGAAATAACCACACACAGAGAGAGAGAGAGAGAGAGTATTAATTTAGGGTGATGCAAATAACACTCACTTATGTTTCTTGATAGCATTATCAAGTTAACTAACCATCAATGTAAAGGACACCTTAATACTCTGCAATAAGAAAATACCTTGAGCATACTTTATCAAGAGTGAAAATAAAAGTACACTAACAAAAATGCTAAGGGGAAAAAAATGAAAACTTGAATTTCTACAGCATTAGAAATACAAGAAATACCTGAGATTGAAAGGTAAATGTAAAAGAATCTAATTGCTACAATATATATATATATACATAGCATCAAGTAAAGCAATTTTGTTAGTGACATTTTAAAACAAAGACACTTGTGTTTTAAATCACAATTACTCCTCAAAAATTGAATTTTGTTCCTAAATAATAATAATAATCCCAATAGAGAAGAGGGCAAGATGTACCTAGCCTTAACCCTATTTGTGGAAATGTTGTTTCTGTAACAAGTAGGTATATAGATATATAGAGATTGAGATACAGAGAAAGAGGGTTCTTACTTCTAACCAGCAAGAAAGAAATGAGAGATGGTGGTGATAACGATGATATGGCCACAACGCTGGCGATCAAAGACAGAGCCAGCTCCTAAACTTGACATACAACCGCAAGGACTCCAAATTTTTCCTTGATAAACTCAAATGCCTCACTGAACCCAAATTTTTCCCCCAACAAATACAAAGACAATTGCAAAATTAGCTAGGCAATCTACCAATGCAACTCCAAATTTATTGCAATTTGAAGAAATTAAACCAAAAATAAGCTAAACAAGAAAGTAAACTAAATAATCATATTAACCCTAGAGCAAGAGTGAGAAATGGGGAAATAGAGGAAGGGGGAGAGAGAGAGAGAGAGAGAGAACCTACCTGTTTGTATTGCGGCGGTGGCGGTGTGATTTGCGATGGTGGCGGTGACGACTTACGGTGAGCAACGGTAGTGAGCGATTGCAGCGAGGTAAGGTTTGGTGGTGACTGGTTCTGTGTGTATGTGTGTGTGTGTGTGTGTGTGTGAGAGAGAGAGAGAGAGAGAGAGAAGGGAAGAACCCTTGTTTTCAAAAATACTGAAAATAACTGGGTGCCAATCTTTTGATGTTTCCCTCTAAAATCATATATGCCTTTGGCAAATAAACTTGTTATTTGTCCCCAAAAGTTAATTTATAACGACTAATTTATTTGGTAGCCAAACATTTAATTAACAGTGACTAATATTTTAGTCGCTAAAAGTAGTCATTTTGGCGACTAAACATATTTTGTACATTGAAAAGAAATATTCACCAACCAAATTTTTCGTCACCAAAGATAAAAGTAAAATTTATACTTTTTATTTAGTGCCTAAACTATTTTAGTAGGCAAAAATTACCTTACAACAACTAAAAAAATTTTGGTCACCGAAAATAAATATTTGCCAACCAAAACTTTGGTCACCAAAGTTTAATAGCAAACATTATGCTAACTTTTTGGGGACTAAATTTATTTTAGTAGCCAAAAACTGGTATACCACGACTAACAAAAATTTTAGTAGCCTAAACATGATCTAATGCCAACTAAAACAATTATTAGTCGCCTATTGTGGCATATTTAGCGACTAATTTTTTTTTAGTCGCCAATAATTAAGATACTGCTACTAAAAAAAATTAGTAGCTTGAAACCATATTCAATGGCGACCAATGCAATTTTTAGTCGCCTATTCTACAACTTTTGGCAACTAAAAAAAGTTTAGTCGTCAAATTTGGTCACCTAAAGTGTAAATTGTTGTAGTGGTAAGAATTCAAGCCTCTAGATGTAATTGAGTCACTTAAGACATAGATTCAAGAGAACTAAGTTGATTAATGCAAGAATTGAGCTAAGATTGGAGAATTAAGACTCAAAGCATATATGCATGCATATTCCATAGCATTTTGGAGTTAATTTCAAGCAATTCACTCATACATGTCATTGTTTTACCTTAGTTTTGGAAATTCATCAAGTTTCATGCTATTTTACATCACATGATTATGTTTTGGAAGATTAAAGTTCATAGCACTTCATGCATGTAATACAATTGGAGTTTCAAGTTTGATTTTGCACAATTTGCATGCTTTTGGGCTTCGATTTTGTGAAATGATTTTGAATTCACAGTGTTTTACAAGTTTGGACATGTTTCCTCAAGTTTAGGGCCCAAAAAGATGGGTTTTGTTGGTTTGAATTTGAGTTTTGAAACTTGAACATCAATATGAAAATTTCAAAATTCTGCATATTTGCTCAAGCGACAAAAATTGCGCTCGAGCGACCAATTTTTGTTTTGCACTTTCGCTCGAGTAACCAAAAGTTGGCTCGAGCATAAAATCCATACTCCCAGAAGTTTTACAAAATTTTGCAGACCGCTCGAGCGACCAAAGTCCTTGTTTACTCAATCTTGCGCTCGAGCGACCGTCCAGCGTCCGTTAAGCGGAAAAGTCATGCAACTAGTACTTTTGCAAGAGTTTTGCAGACCGCTTGAGCGACCAAAGTTGAGCTCGAGCGACTACCCTTGTTTTTGAACCTTAGCTCAAGCGAAGGAACTTGTACTTGAGCGAAGACCCTGTTTTCAAAATTTTGACTAAGTGTTGCAGCACATATTTTGGCATCTTCATTGCATCTTAGGAGTTCTTAAGCCTTAATTACGACATAATAATGAGGATAAGAATTAGAAACACACTAAGGCCCCGTTTGGGGACTTAGCTTTTTAGCCAAAAAGCCAAAAAGTTACCTTTTTAGTCAAAAAGCCAACAACTCATATCAAAAAGTCAAAGATTCTCTTTTCTCTCTACTTTTTGCACATCTTTTCGTAATTAGCTAAAAAGTCATCCCAAACATATAAGTTTTTTTTACCTACTTTTTTAGCCAAATAGCTAAAAAGTTACTAAATTAGTCTGTTCCCAAACGAGGCCTAAGATAGAAAAGAAAAAATTGAAGTGTTTTCAGAATGTGCGTTTCAATATGTATTCGCTATGTGTTTGTATAGGTCATGCGTCTTAGCTGGTTAGTTTGTTTGATTTGTCTGATCTGCTATTGGAGCCATCTGTGAGTAATAACTCTGTAAATTTATGTTTAACTTTAATTATTTTCTGATGATATGAAATGATCAATTTTCTAAACTGTTATATTCTATCTATACGAATGATTGTCCAAGTTTCTGAAATGTATTCGTGGCATCCTTAGTAGCATATGATATGCGTCCCTTTAGGGATCATCGGGATGTCTTTATGGCCGTCCCTTTATGGGTCATTGGAAACGTCTCTATGCACATGAATCATCATAATGCCTTTACAGTCGTCCCTTTATTGGTCATCGAAATGCCTTTATGGCCGTCTCTTTGTGGGCCATCAGATTTGTTAACGCTAACGGATATACCATGTATGATCATGTGAAAATGTATGAACTTTGAACATGAATATGAATATGTATCTACTTCTGAGTATGAATCTGAATCTGAATTCTAAATCTGTTATAGACATCATTCATTAAAATCTTTACTCTGTTATTATTCACTAGGGTCCAGCTTTCTATATTATTTATGTGTGTAGGTGATCAGGCACCTAACCAGACCTAAGCTGTTGCCTGGAGGTCAGTTTTGTCCAGCCAACCACAATGCCTTCCGTGGAGGTTCCGAAACCTGTTTGTGGTCAATGATTTGTGATCTAGAATCCCGTTTAAGTTTTTTTTTTTTTTTTTTATTTGTATATTGGGCTAAGTCTCATTTTGGTTATCTGTAAGTGAAGTGTCATAAGACCGTTACTTATATGACGTCACGTTTATATATATAAAGTTTAATTGTTTTTTGGTCTCATGTATGTCTGCACAGCTCTATAGACTATATATGTTTTATATATTTGCTTCTGCAGCCCCTTATTATGTGATGATCTGTTCAAAGGCCTTTGGTAATCCCAAGATTACTGGGCGGTTACGATGCTAAACTTATAGGGGCGGGTTTGAGTTTTGACAGATTGTCCCTTTATGGTTCTAAAAATTACAAATACCTCATTATCAAAAAAAATTATTTAATAGAATTAATAGAAAAAATGAAATTCCTAACTACTCTCCTATAAGACAATAAAATTACCAGAATTGTTAATTAAAATATATTTTTAATATTGTTAAAAATTATTAATTGACTTAATAATTTATTAATAAAAGTGCAAATTACACTAACAGTCCCTATAGTTTGGGGCTTGTGTCACCTTAATCCCTGACTTTTCAATTATAACGCATTTGACCTTGAATTTTGAATCTTGTTCCAAATAAGGACAATTGAAGATATCATTACTCAATTTCAAGGGCAAAGTCGTTAATTTGAAAAAAAAAATTTAATTTGACAAAAATAAATGTCAAAAAAATATTATTGAATTTTTAAAAATTATTTCTACCAACCAAAGATAAAATTATGTAAAATTGATAAATCTTTTACACATTTATTATTTTTTTACCAAATTAATTTTTATTATGTGTTTGAATAATGATCATGTAATGAGTGGTTGCTAGGCTTTTAATGTGTAATCGATATATTTAATATATGAAATGTTTTTAATTTTGAATTTTTTGATTTAATGGATTGGTTTAATAATGATATCAAAGTTGTCGCCATATTTGATTTTTGTAAAACTAGAAACTAATTTAATGAAAACAAAAACAATCACCCATTACACGATCATCATCTAAACATATAATAAAAATTAATTTGGTAAAAAAAATAAATAAATGTGTAAAAGATTTATCAATTTTACATAATTTTATCATTGGTGGGTAGAAATAATTTTTAAAAATTTAAAAATATTTTTTTACATTTATTTTTGTCAAATTAATTTATATTTTATTAAATTGACGACTTTGCTCTTGAAATTGAGTAATAGTATATTCAATTGTCTTTATTTTGAACAAGATTCAAAATTCATGATCAAATGTGTCACAATTGAAAAGTTAGAGACAAAGTGACACAAGTCCTAAATTATAGAGACCTTTAGTGTAATTCTCCCTTAATAAAAAAAGTTATTTGTTATG